ATTAAAATAATAATAATAAATGTGTATGTTTAATTTTCGATTATACAAAATTAATCAATGAAGAAGCATACCTTTGAGGTTAAGTTTTAATTTGTCGTCTTGAATGGCATGAAGGAGGGAAAGTGCAGAAGTGACAGCGAATTTGCCCCCATAAGACTCCCCGATTATGTATCGAGGACTGTTTTGTAGGTCGACAATGTCGTTCGAGACCTCCGCCAGCAAAGTCGTCATGTCGGCAGCCCCATCCCCGTCGCCCTTTGCAAATTCTCCCGTATCCTACACATAGCTGTATCCTGTTCCAACCGGATTATCTTATTTTGTATTTTTTAATTTAAAAGGCACATTAAAATTCAATAATGAAAATAATAATAAATTAGTGGAAGTGGAGTTTACCACAAATAAGAGGTCAGCTTTCCGCAACCAAGTGGAGTTTCTTGGCTTCAAATTGGTGTCCAGTGGCCCTATTTCTACAAAGTTCCCTATCCCAACTCCCGATTGGCCCTGTTTTTCCATCCAAATTATTATAATAATAATAATAATTAAAAATACATATTAAATTTAAAATTAAGAAGGAAAAAACCGCCCACCGGTCCGCCCTGTAACCAGAGAATGGTAGGCCACGGCTTGGAGGCCTGGTTGACTTTAAAAGGGCTTCTGTAATGCCACCAGAACATATGGGCTTCTGAACAACACAATTCCAATAAAAAAAAAGAAAAACTAAATAAATAAATAAATAAATAATGTTATTATGTTTAAGGATTGGAATTAATGGAATTGTGAAGAAATTGGCTTACTGGGTCTGACTTGAACGTAACCCCACTCTTGAGTTCCATCTTGGGATTTCTGAGTTATGGCATTTCCCAACTCAAAAATAGAAGAAAGAAATATCACAACACACCACATACAAAAAAAGTATGGTTTAGCCATTGGAGGGCGATTTGGGTTTTGCAGTGGATAAGGTATTTATTTATAATAATTAAATAAAAGATGGGATTATTTCAAGGAATTCTTCTATTAAATGCATTGCAATTTGCAAAGACAAAAAGAAAGGGAGATTTGACAGAGGGAATGGCCCAATCTTAAAAAGAAAGGATTAATACGATGGGATGGGACTCGTCTTATTATTGGATTTTACTAAGAGATTGTAACAAATTTCACTTCATTTATTGTAATGGTTGTCTTTCAAGTGAGATATTGTGAAAACTAAAAGTAGATCTGATATGATCCCATATTTTCTTTTCCACATTTAAATTTCTTTAAACATTTTCTCAGCATCTTAGTGCAGTGATTAAGTCACTGTTCTTGTCATTTTCTTTTCTCCACCTAAAATATACCTACCCTCTCAAAATTTTCTAAATACAAGTTTTGTAATTTGTCCATCTCCTTATACTTCCTACCATAATGAACGTATATGTTGGACTCTGAAATTTCTATGAAACATAGTTTAAATTATGTGATCTTAATACGAGATATGAAAATAGAAAGATGGATTTAATCCATGTTTTTGACCTGGATATATGGTCTTACTGTGAAGCAATAGATATTGTGAAAAATATTTGATATACTAGTTGGGAGAAATTATGTGGTATGGATTCTACAAATGAAGAGTGATGGAGACGTTATAAATCAATTGAAAGAACTCAGTAGCGATGAGATGAGTTTTGAATTATACGTAGAGCATCAATCAATCTTTTGTCTTTTAAATGATGATTATCACGAACTATCTAGAAATAGTGAGTATTCCTTTAGTAATAATGAATACAAATTACTTTTATCTATATGTCGATAGAGGTGCCTTATCTCATCAAAGAATTCATCTCAATCAGAGGACAATTGTAAGGTAGTAGTACTCGTCATTAGAAAAATGTTCTAATGTGGGATGAGGATTATTGAAATTTGAGTTAGACATGTTAATTTAACGAATGAATTTAAAGGCGTTGTAATGTTAGATTTGTAAAAAATTACAAGATTAGAGTTAGAGGATGCAACTGAGTTCCTAGTCTAAAAATGTAGACTTTCCAATTGATCATGGATTTGTATAGCTCATAAGATCAACAAGATAAGCAAATTTACATACCAAACACAAACTTAATTTCACAACACTAACCCACAGCTAAACACCCAATAAAAAGAAAAAATCTATACCTAAATTTGCAAACTAGGCCCCATGTATCAGGCAGACCTGAGCTTTCATTTACAAGATAATCGTGCAAAAGCCTCCCATCATTAAAACACACGGCATAAAGATGAATAACTCTAGCTTGTTTAGAGGACAAATTTTCCAATCTCTCAGTTACAATCAGTCGTTTTTTTTTCCTTGAAGGAAATATATATTCACAACTCTTCAGGAAGAAGAGAAAAGAAGAAAAAGGAGGCTCTCTCTTGTGGAGTCTGTCTTGGGTGTGGAGTCAGAAAAGTAAGCTTCATCAAGTTTGAACAATGGAAATGACAAATTAGAAGCACTCCTAAATTCTCAAAATTTCCCCAAAATAAGGTTTCTGAATCCACTCATCAACATATTTATTCTGGTCAGATTAATCAATAATAGAGATTACTATATTATTTCAATCGTCCATCACCATACAATGATCTTTATATGTATAGAAATCAGGATGAGAAGAATCAATAAGGGCAGGCACCTGGATGGAACAAGAGGATGAAGATGAATAATCTCTTGTAATCTCATTCTTCTTTATTGTCATCTAAGTCGTCATAGGGAGTAAGCGCGAATCACCTCTAGAATGGGCGCACGACACATCGGACACTTTCCTCTTCCCTCCACCAACTCATTAGCACATTTTGAACATGTGCACATGTGGCCACATCTACCATGTTTGTGAAGGAGAGAAAATAAAAAGTTATTTACACTTGGAGTTGGGACCAAAAAGAAAAAGAAGCACAAAAAAACAATCTGGAAATTTTCCAGAATTACCTGTACAACAAAGCATCAATATGGTTATTGCAGCACATGCAACAAATTCCTTTCCTTACTCGGTCCCATTTGGGTTCATCATCTGGCAAACTGTCTTCGAAAATATCTGCAGGGGCATTATATGCAAGTTGAATGAGATGTGAAAATGATCTCCCAAGTGACTATAATTAAGGAATATCACATTCCCTCCCACGCTAAATATCATTTGAGTAATGTGTACCACAACATTCTAATCAAAGTTTATTGCTAGCTTGACAGATAGTTTAGGGAAAACATAATATCCATACAACAAGAGACACAGAAACTACTGAATCACTAAGCTTAAGGAATGTCAGTTCTGCAAATCACTACTAAGATATCCTTTTTTTTTCCTATTATTTCCATAGAGACAGCTAATTAACTGACCAAATCTAAATGATATAATAGAATCCGGTTGCTTTTGGTTATAAAAACAAAAGAAAAAGATTAAATATTTAGATAGTAAAGTCTGAGCTATTAGTTATATTGAGAATGAACACAAACCTTCTGAACCAGCTGCTCGGTTCAATGCAGAAGAAACTTCTTGCTTAATTGAGCGCTGCAGCTCGAGTTGCATATCCATGCATGCCTCCAACATTCTCTGTAGGTTGCTCATTCTCTGTTGCAGCCTAGACATGTCAATCCTCAAATCGTTAACGATTTCCCAATCCTGTAAAAATCAATAACAAAATTAAATTAAAAAAGTAATAACGATATCCGACAATAATTACTAATTTCACCTAAAACAAACATAACTGCGTGATTCTTATAAAATTATAAATCACCATTCATCAGTGGTTTACCATTTACGTTTGCATATTTAACTTCTTTTTTTTTTTTTTAATTTACTTTTATCTTACTAACTTCACCTAAAAGGATGATAAAGGAACAATGATGAGACATACAGCTCCAAATTGCTGACGGAAATCACCCCGTGACCAGCTATCATTACTCAACTCATGATCCCAAAGTTGCCGAGAGGGCAATGTAGGTGGCAGTGGCAAAGCAGGTGAACGACTCTCAACAGAGGCTGCTTGACCTTCACTCTGCCTGTCATGCTCTTGCTCTTGTTCTGCAGATGTGTAAGGGGGCAACATCTCGTCAAGATCCCTGTTACTGGTACTCTGACCTTGCCTATCTATGTAAGATTGTATCAACTGGTCAAGACTTTCCCGGAAACCACTGCTGAGAAGAGTAGAAACACTTCTCCTGTATAATAAAAAATTGGTCACATGTCTATTCATCATTTAGAAAGGTCTGAAGCAGGGCATGTTGTCAGAATAAAATTATTTATACCTGTTTAAAAGTTCTCTGATTTCCCCACTATGCACGTTATCATCTTCAGGAAAATAAAAGGTCTCCAACCTTCGGCTGGACGTAGCTTCAGGGGCATTTTGCAGATGAATATCTCCTCTATATGCCGTACTCAAGAATTCTCCAGACCAAGTGGTAGCAATGCTTTCCAACTGAGTTTCATTTATATCTTCTTCAGTACTATTTTCCCACCCATTATGTTGAAAAACAAAGTCTTGCCGATCATTTGGCTCACCTCCCATCCCTAGTTCCTCACTCAGTTCCTCGTGAGAAGTAGATTCCCGTGGGTCTATATTTTCAAGATCGTCTTGAAAACTTCCTGAATGAGCTAATAATAATCCAATATCAACATTTTCATGAGTGTAAGCATGTTGAATGGAAGGTTCAACATCTGGTACATTAGAATGATCCTCAGCATCCACTTGTGGAATTTCACGGTATAAAATATTTGCGGCAGTTTCTTGCAAAATTCTTCTCATACTTTGTCCAGAATCATCTCTCGTCTCCATAAAGTCGACACCCACCATTTGCCCGGCTAAACCACTCTCAGCAACCTGTTCTTGTGAAGTTTCTACCATATGAACAGATTCTTCCCTACCTTCAGCAGTACTTCCCTCTAAATCAGATCTACCATCAGTCGGAACATTGCTATAAGAGCCTTCGTTATGACTTTCCACGTTATTGAGCCCAGAATGCTCATGAAGATCATCTAGGACCTCAAAACTCCTTGTATGATTCAGCTCGGTTAGAGAGTCACCATCATCACTGTTATAGGTGGTGTCAGAATGCCGGCTACTTGATTGATCTTGAACAGAACTGTCCAATCTGGAGAAGAATCCTTCCCTACTTCAAAGAAAGTCACAATATCATTGCCATGGTAGAAATAGATAGATTTTACAGCATTATAGGATGGACAGACAGGCTGGGTTTCCAGTAAACTTAAATTTGAGAAACAGTCGGGACAATTCAAGGTTGACACTGAAGCAAACAATACACGACTCTTATTCTGAATCAGGTGAATTAGGAAGTCTTTGCTTCCTTAGACTTTTTGTAAAAGTCAGAAATTCTGACCTTTTATATTTACACAAACTTCATAGTAGCTTACTATAGATCAACCTAACAACGTTTTGTAGCTCCAATTCCAAATCAAAGTATGTAAGTATTTCAAGCAGATAGCCCTGAGGAATTTTGGACCTAAGACCTCTTGCTTGAATCTAATGACCCGTCCCTATAACACAATGCCCAGTGCTTTGATTTGTACTTCTTTGACTATAACTCCCATTGAATTCAGTTTATCCAGGAAAATAAACAATGTTCAACAGTGTTAACATTAATTCAGAAACAGAACTTCAGTAATCAAAAGTGGAAAATTATCACCATGAAATGAAAGACAGATGCATAAAAAGTAGGCATAAAGTGTCAGAAGTACCTCAAACCAGAGACTGTATGTCTTTGCCTTAAAAGACCTAATTCGGATTCTGCAACAGATACAGATCTCGCGTTCGCAGTCAATCTATCATTTCGTAAGAATCTACTTTTGAGCAATGACTGCAAAATAATATCCCATGATTGAATATTTAATGTTAATAATTATGAGCACTGAAAGACAGCATAGAAAAAAAGTCCATTTCTCACAACTAACAGAGAAGCATATATTGAGTTTGCTTCAACTCCAATGAACATGTTAAACTCGTGAATAATTAGGAACTTTATTATAAGATGACAGATTTAGAGACAAGATACAGCATAGAAAATGGCCTTTTTGTCACCATTGAGAAAGAAAGGAAGGAAAAAAATGTCCAATAGACGCAAAAGAAGTCAAACCAATCGGAATTAGAACAATGAAGAAAAAGAGGACTTGACTAACCTGAATGCGATTGCGATGAGCAAAGCCTGATACAGCTTGATGCTCTAATAATACTTGAATTTCTCTTTGTCTTTCTCTCTCAGCCTTCTTAACCATATCAAGGAGAGCTTGTCTGCCACATAACCTGCGAATACCTCTCCGAGTACGCTGGATCCGGCCTTCATTCTGATTTCCGACCAATCCATCACAAATTTGTGCAATTTGAGCACCAATCTCGGCAGTTTGGACTTCCCCATTTCCACCATGAGCGCCTCTCTGCTGGCTATTCTTTTGCACCCACTCCCTTATCATCCGCACCCTCTCCTGTTCGGTTTCACCAAGCCACTCTGCCCTTGAGCCATTATTCGTTTGGGAAACATTAGGTGTATGTTCCCCCACGCCACTGTTCATCCATTCTCTAAAAATTTGCCTAACTCTCTCCCTCTGAACTACTCCAAATTCACAAGAATTCTCATCATTAAAATTTCCAGAGTCCTCATCTTCATTTTGTGAAGCAGTTTGAACATCAGACCATGTGTCGATATCAGTCTCATTAATATTCATCCCCATATTCTCAGAATCATCCCCCCGTTCAGTACTTTGCCCTTCAGGTGCATCTGTTCTTGAGAGATCAGTAGATCTTTGACTAACCCTCTCTTGCGTGCCTCTCACCACTTGATCATCCTCAAGTCCTCTCCATATCCGTAGAAGAGAGGATGCCCGGGTGCTTATGCTACTTTCATTTCCTAACTGCCTTGATGCCTGAGATTGAGAGTCTCTAATAAATGAAGAATCAAGAACAGAGACATTATGTAGACCAGCAATGGCCATTTTTCAATAAACTATTAATTTAGTCTTTCAATCCGTCACTGAAAACGCATAAATATGCACGAACTTATTAGAAGTTAAGGATCAGGCTCGTTGTATACGTGGATTGATTATCCTCATGTCCCTCATCTTTTTGAACAACTGCACTGTCATCCTTCCCAATCTCTATATGAGAAGAAAATTTTGAAAATACAGTTCTATCGTAGATATCCTCTGGCATTGAATCCACCAACCTTGAGAAAACTCATCGTCTGTACATTGCTTCCATGAATTCGCTGCATCAAAAACCAGAGAGGTTCGTTACTATTTTTTATTGTTCACACTCAACGAGATATTATAAAGCTTTATGGCTCAGAGCAGATAAGACACGGCCACAACTGAATACCACAGAGAGACAACGAACTAGATAACATTTTGGTAAATTCAAAACCCAAACAACCGAAACCAAAAGTCTAATCAATCTATCACTGCTCTAAAAATTTTCCAGGCAATTGCAAAGAATAAATAAACAGAACGCGGTATTTGACACCCAAAATTCCCAGCAATAAGGGACTCAAACAAACGGCTCTCCAAAAACACAAATCCTACTACAACGCCGCCCATCAGTCAACTCCATTTCTTCCGATTCAATTATCAAAATCAGAAGATTCGAACATTCCGTTACATTCATTTTCCCCCGCCTCCCGGGCAATACAAAACAACAACAAAAATGGAACATCCAAATTAAATTCCACGAACCACCCAAAGAAGCGAAATCACAAGCCACGCGGAGATCAACAAACCGAACGACAAACCGCTGCTTAGAAACGCAAGGGTGCCATATGTAATCGATTCGAAAACTACAACTCACGGTTTCAACTGATCTCAAAAGAAGTGATATCCAAAAAGAGAAGAAGCAAAAAAACGTACCAATGAAGCCCTCTGCGTGTGGTTTCCAAGTAAAGGAAACGAAATCAAAGCTGTATAGAAAGTTACAGAGAGACAGAGATGGAGAGAGAATTTTTGGGAGAAGAGAGAGAAACGAGAGAGAGAGAGAGGAAAGAGCGGCGACTTCTGAATATTAAACCACGAGACGTCACCGTTTCATGCCTCTTACCCAGAAATTTTGCCGTAACTCTAACGTCTATAATATTTAGGGAGATGCCGCACCACCGTACCACGTGGCACGTGTCCCTCTCTTCCAGGTCAATTTTTCCCGAAACGTTCCGATTCCGATTCTCCGAATTAAACTTGAAAGTAAATAAATAGAAATTTAAAGGAAGAAAAAAAAAATCCCAACCGCTGTCCGACACGTCGTTCCGGTTTCGAATGGTTGTCGGTAGTATAGTCACACACGCTATTTTGTTATTATTATTTATTTATTAATCATATAATATGCCTGAATAATTTTCGAAAATCATTTTCTTGAAATGAAGTCATGAAAGGCTATATCACATGGGAAGCTTCAAGAAATTTAATGCCCAAATCAAAATCATATAACATATAAATATAAATATATAAATGTGCATGATTATTTGGAGAGTAGAGTAGTAGTGGCAGAGCATATCCATTGCCATGTTAGTTGGGGTTTTAATTATGTAGCTGAATTTATTTAATTTTGAAAAAGAAAAAAAAGCCAGAAAATTGGGGTTCAAGGATATGAATCTCTCCCACCTAAATTAGGTCAAGCTTTACTTTTACATTTTATCTTTTTTTTTATATTTATTATTATTAATTTTGTTGGGACTGAGTATTTTGATTTGTCAAAGAAATATTTGAGTTGAAAATAAAATGTTAGCGCCATAATTGAGCAAGTGGCATATTGAAACTAGCTATAGCCATTTTGTCCTTTTTTGATTTGTCGGATGGTCATTGAATTCTCCCTTTTTCGTTGGTACAATTAGGGTTATCATTTTCTTGTATTGTTTCTTCATTCTCTCTATAATTTTGGCCCTATCATTATGCCTCAAATTTCTTTTTTTTTTTTCATTGACCATTTTGGGTTTTTTTTTCCCCTTGAAATCTCATATTTTTATATCACAATTTTCAATAAACCACTATAGCTAATAAATTATTTAAATATAATCATAATTTTGTATTAATCTATTTCTGTTGGATTTAAAATTTGTGTTAAAATCTTACGGATATTGAAAATACAAGACTACAACAACAAAAATTAAAAGAATAAAGACTAAATAAAAAAAATATTTGTAGTCGTGTAGATGAATTAAAATGAACCATATAGACCAAAATAGTACTTAAACTAGATAAAATAGAGATAAAAAATTCGGGTTCTTTTTTTTTTACAACATGCGTGGGTTGGTATTTGAACTCACGGCTTTTTGATCACATATAGTCTGAATTATATTCAAATTGATAAGTCGGACTAATTATTAGAAAGCTCCTGCCTTATTTTCCTTAAAGATAGTTCCATCTAACTAGAAATGAAATACCGATGAGCAACTCCAACCTATATATTGATTGGGTTTTTTATTTTTCTTTTTTTAAGCAAGTAAATTTGTTTATTATAAATTTCAGCCATTCATTTATTATATATCTTAATATTATGAAAATTTTGTAATTTCTGGACAGTATAACTTATACTACTTCAATGTTTAAAAATTTTGATGGATTAAGTTCAATAAAAGAAAATTCATGAAATAATTTTTGAATCGATAATAAACAATCATGAGATATTGATGGTTGAATATAAATTAAGTTAAATTAATCGAATTGAGAAAAATTAGACGGCCACTATTAAACGAAATAAATAATGGGTAGCATAGTAACAAGGATTTTATCATTTAAACCACTAATAATGACTTATATATAATGTGATCACATTCACTCCCCTTAAACTTTGGGTCAAAATCAATTGCCCTTTTATTGTCTGTTGTTTTTCAAACTCTTTGCACTAATTTCTCCACTACAGGATTGTAATCTACAAAACTGCCCTTTGCCCCCCATAAATTTATTATATTTTTAGGTTTAAATACTTTTTTTTTATTTCCAAATATCGATGCTGTGGACAAAACTGTCATTAAAGTTGGGTAACACTACGACCAACATAAGACTCGAACTTGAAACTTCAAGATATGTGGTACCTTAAAGTTCCAAGCGCTTACACTGTATCATCTCTTAGGGGATATGTTTAAATACTATTTTTATCCGTACGTTTTAGGTTTTGATTCATATTTTTGTTATTATATTTTTAAAATGATCATTTTAATTCTTATACTTTCAAAATATTTGTTTTCTTCATATACTTTTAGAAAGTGACGACCATTTTGGTTTCTATTTGTTAAATTTCAATAAAAATTTTGGAAGCTTTTTTAATACAAATTTATGACTACATTTTAAAAAATATAATGAGTGAAGTGTCCTGCTAAAATTGCGATAGAAGAAAATAAGATAAAAATGAGATTGAAATGACGAAAATGGTCACTTATAAGGATCACATACAAATTTCGAAAGTACATGACTATAACAAATAAAAACTAAAAATACAAAGATCAAAATGAACGTTTTGAAAGTACGTGGACCAAAGTAAACCAAAATTGAAAATATACACCAAACAAAATAGTATTCAAACTTTATTTTTATTTTATTGTAAACTCATTTCCCACCAAAACATACAATCTCCCTTTACTCATTCAACACTCCACCAAAAGCAAAACAAAAGAACATTGATATATAATATATATGTATAAAGAAACATTGTAAGTAAACTCATGTCACAGCCCCACCAAAAACCCTAAAACAAATAAAATCAACTTTTCCAAGAAAGAGGAGCATATGATATATAGTGCATGAAATCTATGAACAAATTCATAATTAATATCTTATCCTAAGTTTAGCCAAAAGCTGTCTAATAAAATAATGGCTGCTACCAAAAGTTCATAATTGGGGTTCTGGTTTATTAATTTAAAAAAAAAATTGCCCAATGATAGTTTTTTTTTTTTTTTAAGAGGACCAATGATAATTTTTTAAGCGATGGAATTACTTTTTTTTTTCCTTCAAACCTAACTTTTCCTCTCTTGACTAGTTTTTTTTTTCTTGGAGTACAACCCCTCTTGACTAGTTTAATTACTCTAATCCCCAATTAAAAATATTCTAAGTTTTGCTTCAATATTAATTATTTGCGACTTTCCACTTCCCTTTCTGTTTTCCTCCATAAATATATTGTCGACCCCACTTCATGAAATCACTCCCATATATAATATATATTTTTATTTTCTAATTCATTTTATCACTTTTTACAACTGCGCCGTGTTTTGTTTATAAATTATAATAAATTACATTAATTATTTAAGTCTCTAACTTTTTTTCAAAAAAGAAAAAATAATAACAATTAACAATCAAGTAATTGGAAAGGGGGAATTGATTTAAATGTTTTTGGTGTATCTTAGCGACTAAAGCATCTTACTCTTTCCTTAAAGTCGGAGATTCAATCCTTCACCCTCATATTTGTTATATTCTCTTGAAAAAAAAAAGATTGGATAGCAATAAAGCAACAACTCATGTTATCGAGAGGAGATAATTGAGGGTATCCGAGAAAAAAGATCTTGGACCACAACATTACCTCACAACGGTCAAGCCGAGGTGTTATGAAATAAACCTCTATCAACTGTCATTCCACTATTGCAGTCTCAGTTGTTCTAGTATAAATGGAAAGTCGTCTTCATATCTAAGAATGCAGGATTGATTGCTCGTCTAGAAAACACTTCGAGTATTACTAACTTGAACATTATAACTTGTATATGCCTCTTGAGACGTTCATTCTTCACACCAAAATAAAATCAATCACGCTAAATTGTTAGTTAATTAAATTGTTCCAATAATAATATCAGTGGTTGTTAAGGATCCCACGTGAAAAATATGAGACGACCTAACAAAGTTTATAAGATACATGAACTATTTCTCTAATTGTCAATTGATTTTGCATAAATCTTTATAGTGTGAAATAATAGTTTTAACTATGGATAATCGTCTAACAATTATGAGATTGGCCGTCATATATACTAAGACAATAATTAACCATTTTGACCTTTGAATTCATAAATCTATTTGGTTTAGGTCTCTAAACTTTGAAATATCCTTAGATTTAATCTTAAAATTCACATAAAATCCTATTTGAAAGCTTTTACACCCGAGTTAGTTTTATATTAATCACTTTTTTAGCAAAATTACAAAGTCTAAAGATTGTAATAAGATTTAAACCTAATTTTCTCGGGATTAGAGATGTGTCCAAAACATTAAAACCACAATCTTTATGTGTGTTCTTTTCATGTACCATTATTGGCTGATCTGATTGATGGATCATGAGATTATGACCATGTTCATAACGGAGGACAAACAAAAGAATCTCAACACATACCCCAAATTAGCACTAATTGACTCCTTCCATATGGATTGTTATGTGGTCACGTTTGATTCCAACAAATAATTTCATATGTTCTTTAATTTAGATGTATCCATGTACATGACACGTGTTCGTTAACAAAAATGGACCCTCTGCATTTTCACAATCGTATGATATATTGTCTACTTTAGACATAGATCTGTCATGATTTTGTTTTTTGTTTCATTCAAAAAATATATATATATGTATGTATATATATGTATGTGTGTGTGTATATATATATATGATGAACCTTTCATTTCTCTAATCAATTGCAACATGAGACTTTATTTGCATTCTCAGTTAAATTCCATCTTTGTCGGTGTGTGCAAAAGTTTTTATGTAGGCTGACACGACATCTTAATCGAATTGTAGATCAACCACACGAATGAGGTTGGAAAAGAATTGAGGATAAGAATTCCATTTGAATTAAGAATATATTTTCTTAACTTTGTATCAACTACCTTTTCAATCCACGAATTTATATAATATTTTAATTATTACGTTCGTGATATGATGTTTTATATTATAATATATCTACAGAGATGACACTCGTACTATAATACAACACAAGATTGCACCCATGATTTATTCAAATATCACTATAACGACATTTTCTCGTGTCGAACTTTTACTCCCCGCCACTAAAAATTTAATGTTATTATATTGGGTTAATAATTAATGAAAAATTATTGACAAAGGGACATGACAATTTACAAAAGA